AAATGGAACTTTGAATGACCCCCAAATGAAGTGGTGTACATTGTTGTATAGTGTTATATCATGTTGTATCATGTTATACAGTGTTATACCACATGCAATAGTATATCATGTATATTTTATCTAATATCGTGTATAAGACGTCATATCACATAAAATAACACACCTAAAATAACATAATCTAAAATAATGTTATGCAATTTCCCAAGCAATATTCATCTTGTGGTCTCCTCCATTCAATTGTGTTTCAAACACTGGTCACAACTTCTGACTGTTAACAGGTGGGCGAAGGTTATATAACATTCACAGAGGAGAACAAGTCAAGCTGGCTGCGTCACGTAAGTAGGAAACTACTGTAAATCCTTGAATAAACGCCTTCCTTGAATAAATTCTGGGTCGTATATTAGGGAGCATCCATTTGATTTGCATAGGGGTGATGGGAAATAGTTCTGAGAACAATGTAGTTTTTCAACAGCCGTATCCAACAAGCTATTTATTAACGGAGCACCATCAAGCAATCTATACATTGTCACTTTTAAGAGAAGCATTTTGATGTTTCGAAACGTGAAAATACTGTGATTCCTACGAATTATTGTTTGTAAGGATCTGTACCGTATACCGTATCAGTATGAGGTAGAGAACACAAGGCTTTGAAAAAGAAATGCCTGCCTTGAAAAACGCCCAGATTCGAGACCTTCATAATAAAATCATTTATTCAAGGATTTACAGTATCTCACATGAACCCCACAAAGAAGGGCCGATCCAGAAGCAACCATTGACATAATTATCATTTGAATTTGAATCCAACTCACTCCATTCTCAAGCTCTAACCACTCCAGTGAACAGAGACCTCAAGGTCATCCACACGTGTGAATCAGCTGAGAAAATAACTTCAGTAAATATCAGTACCTTATGAAAGACACTTAGCATGCTTAGTGAGAATAAAATGAGTTTTTTCAATTGAAGTATTCAAGTTGTCTTCAGTTCTCCCATTGAAACTGCTGTCTGATATGCTGTTAAAAGTCTGACGTAATCTTCTCATGCCTTGTGAATAAACATGGAACTTGCCTACATAAACTTGCTATGTCACGAAGTTGTAAATTAGAAAGTAAATACACCTCACTCCGTATGTATTGAATGTGTGAAAGTATATGTATGTAAGTATGTCATGAGATAAAGAAGGCGATGAGTCACTCATACCGTTCCCCCCTCTAGTGACAGCCCTCCCCCGACCTACCCATTGAGGAAGTCTTGACTACCTCCCCATTGTCAATCTCCCACCTCCAAACCCATGTGAATCTCCCACCCTTCACCCCAAGTAATGAAAAATCCTCCCACCCCCACCCCGACCACCACACACACACCCTATGTAAACCCAGTGTCAACTCCTATGTCAATCCTCACTCCCATGACAATCCCCCACTCCCATGACAATCCCCCACTCCCATGTCAATCCCCCACTCCCATGTCAATCCTCACCCCCATGACAATCCCCCATTCCCATGTCAATCCTCACCCCCATGACAATCCCACACTCCCATGTCAATCCCACACTCCCATGTCAATCCCACACTCCCATGTCAATCCCCCACTCCCATGTCAATCCCCCACTCCCATGTCAATCCTCACCCCCATGACAATCCCCCACTCCCATGTCAATCCCCCGCTCCCATGTCAATCCCCCACTCCCATGTCAATCCCCCACTCCCATGTCAATCCTCACCCCCATGACAATCCCCCACTCCCATGACAATCCCCCACTCCCATGTCAATCCCCCACTCCCATGTCAATCCTCACCCCCATGACAATCCCCCACTCCCATGTCAATCCCACACTCCCATGTCAATCCCCCACTCCCATATCAATCCCCCACTCCCATGTCAATCCCCCACTCCCATATCAATCCCCCGCTCCCATGACAATCCCCCACTCCCATGTCAATCCCCCACTCCCATGTCAATCCTCACCCCCATGACAATCCCCCATCCCCATGTCAATCCCACACACCCATGTCAATCCCCTACCCAGATGTCAATCCCACACCCCCATGTCAATCCCACACCCCCATGTCAATCTCCCACCCCATGTCAATCTCCCACCCCCATGTCAATCTCCCACCCCCATGTCAATCCCCCACTCCCATGTCAACCCCACACCCCCATGTCAATCCCCCACCCCCATGTCAATCCCCCACTCCCATGTCAACCCCACACCCCCATGTCAATCCCACACCTCCATGTCAATCTCCCACCCTATGCCCAGTGTCAAGCCCTACTCCCACCCCAGCCACAGAGATCTTGACAACCTCTCCACACCCAACTCACACAAATACCCCCAGTGACCCGCCACAAAATCGACCCCCCTCCATGTCAGCAATACAGGAGACACTGATAACCTCTCCCCACCTCACACATACTCCACACAATAGGACCCTGAGTTTTAAGGAGAAGTTAAAGAGACTGGCATCAAAAGATAGACTACCTCGTTGAGGCACCTCACTAGGATCATATTTACAACCAACAAAACATGTGATCAAGTTTCCCGTTTTAAGACAGGCGACATGAGACATGTGACAAGAAGACAATTGAGAACAAAGTTTGTAATTCACACTCTTCTAACTTCTGGACCTACTCACTCCTATGTAACAATAAATCATGAAAAAAGCTTCACACTTTACATAATACTAGACAAAAGATCAACTGTAAAAATAGACTAAAAACAAACAAATTTGAGGCTTATTATGGACAAACCCAAAAACATACTTGAGGCAAAACAGTAACAAAACACCTCTGACATCTAGTGGATAGAGCATCTGCCCAGAGAGACAAAAGTCGGTGGTTCAATCCCTGTCCGTGTCAAACGAAAGATGTTAAAAGATGGTACTTGTTGTTACCCTGCCTGGCATTCAGCATTAAGTGGATAAAACAAAGACTGGTTTGCTCGGAGTCAGTATACTGTGTCTGAGTGCATTAACAACGCAATAGAAGTGCAATCATCTTGAACTCGACATTAAACTCAATTTCACCTCACCTAATCTTAAATTAACTTTCAATCACCGAAACGGATGAGTGACCCCACTTCCTTTTGCCTTATATCCCATTAATCAGTAGTTTTATTGGCAGTAGTTTTACTGTATCTACACTCCCTACATACAGGTAATTTAATCTCTGTCACACAACACAAGTTGTCTGGAACACATCATATACCAGTTGGACAAGTTCTACAGCTCCACTGCAAGATTCACCCCCTACCTGTTATAGGACCCCCCCAAGCTAAGTTATGTGACCCGCCTGCCTGTCATGTGACCCCCCACGTGTCATGTGACCCCCTGTCTGTCATGTGACCCCCTTGCCTGTCATGTGACCGGCTGCATGCTGTTCCAGCCCCCCAGGTCACCAGGGTCACACGTTCAGCAAACATACGACCCCCAGCCTAACACAGTTACTCAAGGTTTATGTCTGATACCTTGTCTTGTATGTCTTACAGACAACGTAATGGTCATGCCCTTCATCCACTGATACAATAAAACTTGACAAGTCTTTCCTGATATTTCTTTACGTCTGCAAACATACTTTAAAAAAACAAAAACTTTGGTTTAAAAAAAACCTTGATGATTTGTGTCATTACTTCAATGATAAAAATTGACATATTAATAATATTTAACTTCAAACCTTAAGTTTTAACCTACTCAAATAAACTTTCAACCTGAATCCAACCTTTATATAAATTTACATTTTAATGGCCTTCTTTTCCAGATTGTGGAATATTTTGTAAGGAAACATGGAAGATAAATGTCATCATCATCATCATCATCATCATCATCTTTACCATCATCACCATCATCATCGTCATCGTCATCACCATGTTTGTGACATCATCATCATCATCATCATCATCACCATCATCACCATCATCATCATCGTCATCATGTTTGTGACATCATTATCATCATGTTTGTTCCATGTTTGTTCCATGTCTGTATGTACTGTCCATGTCAACATATCTGCACTGGATATCCCGATTGAAAATTAACAAATGATTCTCCTCACCAAATCATATTCCCATCATGTGTCATGACCTCACCATCGGCACAATGTGATTCTTGAGTCACAGTCACATGATCATCAACTAGGAGTGACTTGGCACACAATATAGTCCACCTTATCATATCAAAATGTAATCACATGCACAATACTGAATTGGGAACTCTTAAGATCATTTCTTTCACAAGTTTGTCAGCAAAGAAGTGTTTTCTCCACTGAGAGAGTGCACTACTATTTCAACTAATAACATCCCCTTGATATTCACCTGAAAAGGATTTGGTTTCTTTGTTGTTTAACGCCGCACTCACCAATATTCCAGCTATATGAAGGCGGTCTGTAAATAATCGATACTGGACCAGATAATCCAGTGATTGACATCATGAGCATCGATCCACGCAATTGGGATACGATGACATGCATCAACCAAGTCAGCAAGCCTGACCCCCCAATGTTGTTAGTCGCCTCTTACGACAAGCACTGTCGCAATTTACGGCAACCATGGGTTGCTGAAGACCTATTCTACCCCAAATCTTCACAGGTCTTACTTGTAAAGGAACAAAACATGACAGACCACCCTTAAATATTCCTTTTCACAAAGACAAGTCAGAGGACTAGTGTGAACCTTATTTCACTTGTCCTCAAAGTTTGGAGCTTGTCCTGCTTGACTGAGACAAAAATGTTTACTGTGTTTACATTATCCGTCAGTTTAACTTAAACACTGAGAAATGGTTCATAATAATAGTCCTCAAATGCTAGTAGTCAATAAGGACTTTCACTTTTCTTCCTCAGTCCTGGTCTAGAAGACTAGCATGGATTTCGAAGGCTGCACACCAACCAGGATTACAGAATGTGAATCAGTTTCAAGGCCAGAAGATTATGCTACATGTTTAACATAGATCTGGACTCTGATTGGTCATCTCAGATGTGCTATACTCCCTATATCACCCCAAATTACTTACATCTGTGCCACAACTCTCTCTCTTAACATTGTGTCAGCAAACGAGTTTGCTTGTAAAGCCATGTTTCCAAATGTCTTAGTGTCTCCGAATACTGCGACAATCCACCGGAATCACAACACAAGCACTCAGTAATCCAAGATGGCCGTCTTGTCAAGAACCACCTGGAAAACAAATCAGTAAGGTTAATGGTCATCAAGGAATTGCTAGTATTGATTAATCTTGTTTAGGGATATTCCTATTACTTAATAAGACACCAAACATGACACATTCTTGGATGTATTTGGCCCAGCACAGCTTCCTTATCTCAATATCTCTATCAGGGGCGGTCGGGTAGCCTTGTGGTTAAAGCGTCCGCTTGTCACGCCAAAGACCCAGGTTCGAATCCTGACATGAATACAATGTGTGAAGCCCATTTCTGGTGTCCCCCCCCCCCCCCCATGATATCGCTGGAATACTGCTAAAAAACATACTCACTCACTCAATATCTCTGTCATTATTTGAGAAGCATGACATATCACCTGACTGTCAGAGTTCAAAATGGAGAATTAAGAACAATCAGAACATAATATCCCAATGAAAAGAAACTTGGTTGGTACATTTATCAGGCAGTATCAACATTCGATCACTCGCAACTGTAAAAAATGTGTATAGTTGAACACGATAAATTCGTCTCCACGAATACACAACCAAATGTGCTACATCCGTCAAAATCATCACACTGCGAACATCAAGTTGATGTCACATATTAACACTTATCCAGCCTACACCCCTATGATGAAATTAATCTAGTACCTTACAAGGATCTCAATATATGTATTAAACAATAAAAGTTTTAAGATGGCGACATACCAGTAAAGTCTTTCCACCGGTATATTTTTGTTACCTACTGCGAGGTGTATATTTCTCAAATAAGAAAACATTTCTATTAAATCCAGTACACAAATTTTAGCTAAATCGGACATGAAAGAACATGACAATGGTATCATATCAAGAAAAGTAATGCTATGACGTTGCTCCGATAATGCGTCTTAGAAATTTCAATCGGCCCAAATACTAATTGTAATACTCATATAATCTCAGTGACTGAAAACACAGTTCTGAAGGTATAACTGTCTCATATACCATGGTAGTACACAGCTCTGAGGGTATAACTGTCTCATATACCATGGTAATGCACAGCTCTGAAGGTATAACTGTATCATATACCATTGTAGTACACAGCTCTGAAGGTATAATTGTTTCATATACCATGGTAGTACACAGCTCTGAAGGTATAATTGTTTCATATACCATGGTAGTACACAGCTCTGAAGGTATAACTGTCTCATATACCATGGTAGTACACAGCTCTGAAGGTATAATTGTTTCATATACCATGGTAGTACACAGCTCTGAAAGTATAACTGTCTCATATACCATGGTAGTACACAGCTCTGAAGTTATAACTATCTCATATACCATGGTAGTACACAGCTCTGAAGTTATAACTATCTCATTTACAATGGTAGTACACAGCTCTGAAGGTATAACTGTCTCATATACCATGGTAGTACACAGCTCTGAAGGTATAATTGTTTCATATACCATGGTAGTACACAGCTCTGAAGGTATAATTGTTTCATATACCATGGTAGTACACAGCTCTGAAGGTATAACTGTCTCATATACCATGGTAGTACACAGCTCTGAGTGAGTGAGTATGGTTTTACGCCGCTTTTAGCAATATTCCAGCAATATCACGGCGGGGGACACCAGAAATGGGCTTCACACATTGTACCCATGTCAGGAATCGAACCCGGGTCTTCGGCGTGATGAGCGAACGCGTTAACCACTAGGCTACCCGACCGCCCCACACAGCTCTGAAGGTATAATTGTTTCATATACCATGGTAGTACACAGCTCTGAAGGTATAATTGTTTCATATACCATGGTAGTACACAGCTCTGAAGGTATAACTGTCTCATATACCATGGTAGTACACAGCTCTGAAGGTATAATTGTTTCATATACCATGGTAGTACACAGCTCTGAAGGAATAAACTGTCTCATATAGCATGGTAGTGCACAGCTCCGAAAGTATAACTGTTTCATATACCATGGTAGTACACAGCTCTGAAGGTATAATTGTCTCATATACCATGGTAGTACAAAGTTCTGAAGTTATAACTGTCTCATATACCATGGTAGTACACAGCTCTGAAGGTATAACTGTCTCATATACCATGGTAGTACACAGCTCTGAAGGTATAATTGTTTCATATACCATGGTAGTACACAGCTCTGAAGGTATAACTGTCTCATATACCATGGTAATGCACAGCTCTGAAAGTATAACTGTCTCATATACCATGGTAGTACACAGCTCTGAAGGTATAATTGTCTCATATACCATGGTAGTACACAGCTCTGAAGGTATAACTGTCTCATATACCATGGTAGTACACAGCTCTGAAGGTATAACTGTCTCATATACCATGGTAGTACACAGCTCTGAAAGTATAACTGTCTCATATACCATGGTAGTACACAGCTCTGAAGGAATAAACTGTCTCATATAGCATGGTAGTGCACAGCTCCGAAAGTATAACTGTTTCATATACCATGGTAGTACACAGCTCTGAAGGTATAATTGTCTCATATACCATGGTAGTACAAAGTTCTGAAGTTATAACTGTCTCATATACCATGGTAGTACACAGCTCTGAAGGTATAATTGTTTCATATACCATGGTAGTACACAGCTCTGAAGGTATAACTGTCTCATATACCATGGTAGTACACAGCTCTGAAGGTATAATTGTTTCATATACCATGGTAGTACACAGCTCTGAAAGTATAACTGTCTCATATACCATGGTAGTACACAGCTCTGAAGGTATAACTGTCTCATATACCATGGTAGTACACAGCTCTGAAGGTATAACTGTTTCATATACCATGGTAGTACACAGCTATGAAGGTTTAACTGTCTCATATACCATGGTAGTACACAGCTCTGAAGGTATAACTGTCTCATATACCATGGTAGTTGGAAGAATCCAACAGCTTACACCGTTTTAAGCAAGTATTAAGAAAGTAAAAAAGTAAAAAGTTTAACTCCGTAGGTCAGTTCTTGTCTTCACCGACAGTGATAGGTTTTACAGATAATGTTACACACGGTGACATATAAAAACAGTTCAATCTTCTAAAAGTAATCACATTACTATGGAGCTGTATCAAGAACAATACTTACAGTTTGAACTAAATCCCACAAAATGCCACCAAGTCCCACAACACAACCAACTTGAAAGCCAATCCTCCCGAATCACTGACTGTCCACATATGAATTTACTCACCCATCTACGGAATAAATCTCACAAAATACCGATGATAACAATCATCATTCTCATGACTAACCCCCCACAACTAGGTAACACAATAACGTAGATCCTCCTTGCTTTGATCGGCTGATCACCTACCTTGCTTCAGACGAAACTCCCTCGGATATTTGAATCTACAAAGTTTAACCTTTCATTCTGCTCAGCCAAGCAAATCTAGGTCATTCTAGGTGCAGAGGAGTGTCACTTGAATCATGGGACATTGGAAAAATATATCTGGAGGGGTGTCCCTGTCTATTTATATTGCCCCCCGTTAGCCAGGAAAGATGTTTGACTATAAATCTCGTGACTGTCCGGCAACCAACATGGTAGTCATAGCAACATTGATGTCATGTGACGTTACCCTGGCATCAAGTAATAAAGGAATTCATAAAGGATTCAATATTTCCTTCCAACATAGCTGTGGTATTGTGTAACAGCGGGATCCAAATATAAAATGGATTTGTTGGTATTAATTATCGCGATTAATTTGTAAATTATGTTTTTTGATATTTCGCAAAATTATATAAACCGGGAAATTATCAAAAAGCCCAGCTTTAATAACATTCATGACAAAGCACGACTGTGTATAGAGGATGGATTATAATTATATTTAAATTCTTTCTCCACCGTATTAAACACGTCATGCTTTGTGTATGTCCTGGTCATGGTTTTATAAGTAGATGAGAATGCTTGTCAATATCGACACAATGGCGTCTATGTTGTGCATATGCAGGCACAGCCAGCTGCTGAACGGGAGATGAATCTCGCTACATTTTGCCATTGTGAACTAAGAAATTCCATAGCAATTTTTGCATGAAGCAAACATAAAAAACTCAGAAGTGAACAGAACTTTTCCAGTTGGATATAAGAAATCCTAAACTATTTCAATCTATCCATCCATCATCCTTTCTTCCATCCATTCATCCATCATTTATCCATTTTCAATCCATTCATTCTTCCATCCACCCATTCTTGCATCCATCATTCTTGCATCCATCATTCTTGCAACCATCCATCCTTCTATCCAGTGTTTGATTTAAGGAACTTGATTTAACTTGCACCAGGTGCATGTTGACATGAAAACCTAGTTGCAAAGGACAAATGGAGAATCTCACCAGAGTGTCTTTTGATATAAAATATATCAACACAAGTTGATAAAAGTGGAAAATCTCCAAGGCTTGCCGTTGAGTTTTTTCCACTTTTATCAACGAATGTTGATATATTTGATATCAAAAGATACAAGGGTGAGATTTTATTGATCATCCAACATCATTCTTCCGTTTCAGTTTGTAGACAGTTATAAGCAATGTCTTAAGTGTAAAAAGTACTACTAACAGCTTCACACCATGTCATATAACTCATATACCACATCCAGATGTCATAGGACGATAGCCTCCATCTGGTGCCCTGTATATATTGTACAGCAGGCGACATCCCACATCAGCTTGTTCCAATTACCTGACAACACCACATGACTCAAAGTCATGGCCATAGCAAATATATGCATCATGCCATTAAAATATATCATTTGACACAGATGGAAATTAGCACTACTCGCTAGTCAAGTCTAGATTTACCCAATGGTATCCTAAGGGCCAGTAGAATTTCAAACATTTTTGGGGTATTGCTATATACCGTATTCGACTTAATAAGCGCCCCGCTCTAATAAGCGCCCACAGGGAGATTTGCTAATATATTGGCTAGTGAACAAACCCAATTAGCACCCCTTCCGATTGATCAATGTACAAAAGACTTACTATTCGCGTATAATACGCACTCGTGTGTTATATGCACCCTTAATTATGGGCAATTAAATTCTGGAAAAATATATCTGTCGTACATAAACACTTCAGGCTGTCAGCATAAACCACGAAATTTATCTTTCAACTCACTTTTTTTCACCAAAATAATCTTCTAATAAGAGCCCCCTATTTCTAATTTTGAGAGCGCCCTGGGCGCTTATTACACCGAATACAGTATGCACTATTCTGGCAAGCAGATGCTCCCATATAACACATCAGCAAATGCACCATGAAATTGTAGTGCTTGAAATCAAACCTCCACATTTGCCCTAGACTGAGTTAAAAAGTGATAACTAGGTAGAAATTCTAATATATTTCACAGGATTCAAGCAAACCAACTCTACATGTGAATTTAACCAAGTTCCCTTTAACGTTCCACAAGGATATCTCCCTATTATGTTGACGTTGACATGATGCATACAAGCATGTTACACACAAATATCGTCATAAAAACTCGAATTCTTGGATTCAATTTCAAATTTACCTCATAAATCAAGCACTCTTTACAACCAAATCCTTACAAATCCTCGGCTGGCAAATATCGGTGATTCAGCTCCCTGGCAACCAGATCTCTAATGAGCTCAACTGAAAATACTTTATCCCTGTCAACTAGCAGCATGATACTTCAGCCCAAGGCAACAGTTGTCATGTCCTACCAGTGTGACAACTAGTCCTCACTTAACAAGTCATGATCCTCTGTTGGAAGGGGCAGAGGTAATCTTATGCAGCATCCTCAAGCGATGATGCAGCTGTTGAATAACTGTCTGCACTGACGATGTCCCGAGACGCAATCAATACCCAACACACATCCCTCTGCTGGACACAATGCAACAAAACAATCCCCCCGTTTTCAGCTTAGAAGTATACTACTCAACTTTTGATATTTTATTTAATTTTACACTTGGCATAGTATAAGATTCATGCCTGTGTATCAAGGAAAGATAAATAATCCCTATCTAAAATGGAGTAGTATATATCTGATATATTGCAGCCATAACGTTCAAAACTTTGAATACAATAATTATTCAAATTTTAGTATTCTCAATGCTGACTGATCTCTTGTTTTGTTTTGTCTTGTTTAATGCCGCACTCAGCAATATTCCAGCTATATGACAGCGGTCTGTAAATAATCGAGTCTGGACCAGACAATCCAGTGATTGACATCATGAGCATCAATCCACAATTGGGAAACGATGACATGCATCAGCCAAGTCAGCGAGTCTGACCACCCGATCCCGTTAGTTGCCTCTCATGACAAACATTGTCGCCTTTTACGGCAAGCATGAGTTTCCAAGACCTATTCTACCACGGATCTTCACGGGTTGCTGAAGACCTTTGATCAGTTGAAGCACTATGACACAACATTGTTTCATTGTTGAATCCTATAAGATATGACATCATCCCTTCTCAGTGGACCCGTGAAGATTCTGGGTTAGAATAGGTCATTAGGAACAATGCTTGTCGTAAGGGGCGACTAACGGGATCGGGTGGTCAGGCTTGCTGACTTGGTTGACACATGTCATCATATCCCAAGTGTGTAGATCGACACTCATAATCAATCACTGGATTGTCTGGTCCAGATTTAATTATTTACAGACAACAAACAAAACATCATGTTATAGCATGTTCGAATGGTTGCCTGAAAACCTTGTACTTTTGTCACAAACAACAGTCTTTAAATTGTGATTTCCTCACATTGCTTTCAGTTCCAATTTACTGTTGTTTGGATTAACACATGGATACGGCCATTCATTTTATATTTTTTGTTTCATGGGTCTGCCGCCCCAACTGTAAAGCAGCTGAAAAAGAAATAAATGAAACAAAAAAAGTACTTTTATTATGCCTCCCGCTAGTTTTATAATCCCTCTTATACAAAAAAAACATTAAATATATATTTCATGTCTACATCACTATCACTCCACAGCTGAATGACTTTCATATAATAAATGCTTGACACAGCTATTCATATTTAGTTTTATTTCGACCGACCTGGTGTGGGAAAAGCTGGAATAAATCCATGAAATCATAAAATTAAAAAAGCGTGTGCTAAATTTAGGTTACATTATTTCAGCATGAACTACTGGTATAAGAATAATGCTTACATATGGCCCCAAAGAATGAACACCTTCAACATGTTCAATTTCACGAGCTGTTTACACCAACCTGTGGCAAAATCTAATCATTAAATCGACTTGGAAATAGTGTCTTCCACATTACAGCCTGACAGATTATATAATATTCATTCACCTTAACAGCTTGAAATGTCAACAAAAGCAGACATGAATGATTTTAAACATCAATATTTTATCATAATGCATCTACTGTGACACATATTGATCACATAGGAATTCAGCTAAGCCATCAAATTTTGTAGTTGGATAGGGTACACTGGTACTGTACAGTGGCCAGGGATTTACCTGGAATGTCAAAGGATCCCTTGGAGGGCAAATTGGGGAAAAACTTTTTTTGTGTTCAAAATTTGGATTTTTGTTGTCTTATTTTCAGGTGTATTTTGACGTTGAGGTGTAACATTGCACTCAAAACAACAATGTAAAGTCAAGCCTTTTTTCAAGCCTTTTTTTCAAGCCTTTTTGTCAAGCCCTCAAATGAGTTCTAGCTATCCCATTGGAATTTGACTGACTGACTGACTTGCGCCTTTGAGCAGGTCTAGAATAGTTCCTGGTGATTGTGCTTGTATGATGTTCAATTGAAGAGGGGGGTGTTCAGGGGAGGGTCATAAAAATACAAAAATAATTAAAAAAGTAATAATAAAATGATGTCCATATTCAAGTGGGTCATGAAACGTACAAAGACATGGAGAGGGTCATACAAAAATATAGCAAGCATTAGTGGAGGGTCATTCTTTTCTGTACGTTAGTGCATCAAAAAGCTCGCACCCACCAACCCTACCCCCCCTGTTATAAATGACTGGTCCCAAGTCTCATGTTAAATGCATCCTATGGCATGCGGTGTACCACAAATACATCAGACGTTTCTACGTCCCAGCATACATAAGCCGCATGTAACTGTGGCAAATGTATGCATTTCAAACATCGACGAAAATACCACAGCTGTCACCATCCATGGACATACGCCAATAAAACAGACGGAGACAAGCACAGCCTCGTGAAATGTTCTGTTGTAAACCCAAACTGATAAACCGCCGACCCAGCGTATCTAACATGCAGTTCATATAACAACATTGGAATGTAGCGGATATTATCTA